ATTTATTTAAACATACACTGGTAACCAATATTCGGAGCCGTGTTTGGAATTGGCATATCGTCCATTCCATATTATTATTATGATTTATATTTATCCGTTATGTTTGTTTGTTCGGWGTCTTTCAATTGCGGCCAAGTTTTTATGCCGTATGGCTTTTCTTGGTCATAAATTAAATTTTTATTTTCTGGTATACATTAAAAAACCAACCCCCATAACAATGTTTTAATTTTTTTTCCCTTTTCCAATTTGTTTATTTATTTATATAAAGAAAATCCCGCATGCTCTGATTTTTGAATCTCGGCTGTGGGTTGGCGACCTTTACCAGCCTCGTCAATGTACACTCCACGCCGAATCTGGTTATAGCCTCGTGCGAGTTGTTACACCACCTCCAAAGTTGAAAATATAAGCATTTTTCAACTATGTTTATGTACATACCAAAAAATATATATGTATACATCATTTTAAAATATTATTTGCTCTGCTGAGTTGAGTATTTAAATTTAATTGAAAAAGGATATATTTATTCTGTTAATTTATTTTTTATTATAAGTATGGAAGTTTTATAAGTGAATATGACAAGTAGAAAATATCAAAACATTCCTCTTTGTTGTTTGTTTCTTGCAGCATTTCTCCTGTTATGGTTACCACTAAATGCTTTGTTCTCATTTTTTCTCTGTCGTTCCAACTCAACATTTGATCCAGACGAAGTAGCTGATGAAGAAGTTGCTTGTAGTTTACCTTACATAAATAAATATGTTTTCAAAAAATGTTAATTTTTTGTTTGCACAAAAAAATATTTACTTCGGTTGGATCTATTAGATTGCTTTGCAGCATATCTCCTAGCTTGTCTTTCTCGAACTTCTTCAGGATTTTCACAGAATGGTTGAAAATTTAATACTGGCTGTGRTTCATCATCTGAAAACTCTTCTTCAACAAATTCATTTACAGCTTTTTTCTCCATTAAAACCCTTGGTACAACATCTGGTCTTCTTTTTTCGTTTTCGTCTACTGGTTCTGGTATAACATATTCAACTTCATCATATGTGTCATCATATTCATCATCATAATATGACTCTAATTCAGCACATGTAATCTCAGTAAAATGATATTTTTCATAAAATGGCCGCATTTCATTTCGGAAAGATTTATCATCTAACACCGCCTTAAGTTTTTTAAGTTTCTTAAACCTAAAAATAAAAAATAATATTGATCTATTATATACTGTAAAGTGTAAATACTATATTGTAACACAGTCTCATTTGCCATCAGTTAAACAGGAATAAAAATCATATTGTTAAATTGTATTCATTAATGTAATAAAGCTTACCCTTTAATTGAAGGATCATAACCAGAAGCAGTATCCTCATACTCTGACTTTAAAGGAAGATTTAAATCGTACTGAGTAAGTTCTGRTGGAAGACAATCTTCCAATATCATATTTATAACTTTTTCAGAATCCATGTCATAATATTCTAAACATTTCTAAAAAACAAAGAAACATCAATTATAATTAAATGTAAGAACTAAAAAATATAAATTAACTTACCTGGATGAATCCATCTCCTAGATGGGGCAATAAATCTTTTACATTATTTATAAGAGACTGCAATTTGGCATTCTCTATATTTGTACTACTGATTTGTAGCTAAAAATACAAATTCATAAATATAATTTTATATTATATAAAAAACTAAGAAACTTGAAAAAATGATTACCTCCAACTGTTGTTCTTGTAATTCTTTTTGTTCAAGTTCAGCAAATGGTTTATTAATTAATTCTAATGATTTTAATAAATAATCATATCTTGTTGAGTCTCTAAATGGTGTTATTATTATTGAAATAWTTTCAAATAAGCTATGATCATTAAAAACTTACATTTCTTTGTTAGATTTTTGATATTTCTTTATATCTTTAGTTAAATTATACACAATAGTATAGTCATTCACAAATTCATTGTATGATAATAACTCACTGACTGCTTCTAAATATTCTCCAACTGTATTTTCTGATCTTTAAAATATATATACATATAAAWTTTTTTTTAGAAATATAATTAACTTATGATAGTTATATTCAGGACAGGGTTAAGCAAAAATAGTGCACAAGGCAAAATAAGATTTTGGCGACCCTAAAGTAACAATATTATTACTGTATTGAAAATACCACCCCTAATTAATGTGACTCTAAATGTGGGTCTGTGTTGCCTAGCACTTAAGCCAGGCCTGGGTATATTATTATTATTGTTTGTGTGTTAGAAAAGATAATGGGCCACACTGAACARGTTTTTGTGGGGCCCCATAAGTTCATAATTCACAATGATATGTATTTATATTAATTTAATTATATAAAATATATGTCTTGATAATGCTATGGTATATATTTACTTGTTTGTAATTTGGGTAGGTATATGAATTAAACACTGTCTAACAATTTTCAAAAGTAATAATCTTGAGGCATGTAACTTTTCTTGGAATTTTTCTAATTTATTCATAGTGGTTACTTTCTTATAAATTAGTGGTTTTATACTATGATAGAAAGAAGCTATTCTAAAAAAAAAAAAA